TACATAAACAAATTGTAAGCAAATATATAAGTGATAGCATAGTATATACATTTGATACTGCCTTTTAAAAAAAAATTATATCCTGGATATTACTATCATATAGAGAAGCATCCACTCCAATAACTGTAAAAATGCAAAAAAAAACTTTCAAATACTTAATAGCAATAGTACAGATGGACACACTATGGTTTTCATTCTATGAAAAGAAAAATTCCCTCCTTTTTTCAGCTGCATAGCACTTCATTATGTAAGCCCGGATAACCAACATATGGATATACCATTTAACTTATTTACCCAGTGCACCAAGAGACATATTGGTTGAATTCAGTATTTTGATATTATTCCAAGATATATCTTTGGCATAATTATCTAGATGTTTACCTTTGGGATAATTTTTTATAAATGGGAGTGCTGAGTTAAAGAGCAAACCCATGGGTAATTTTCCCTAATACTGTCAAATTCCTCTCCATGGAAGTTGTTCCATTTTGCATTCCCACAGGCAATACATGAGAATGCCCATTTTTCTGCAGCTCAAAGAACAGAAAACACTGTGGAACTGTTGGATTTTTGCCAATGTGACAGGAGAATAATGGTAGTTATTAATATCTCAGTGTAATTTTAACTTCTCTTAATGAGTTAAACATCTTTTCCTAAAGTGTAAGAGCCAGTTGTATTTGTTTTTCTGCTGATATCTTTAGTTCATTTTTCTATAGAGTTGTTGGTATTCTCTCTCTTTTAAAAGTTCTTTATACTTTAGGGACAATAATAAGCAGCAAGTATTTTATCCAATTTTTTTTTAATTTTGCTTTGTTCATGGTTTTTTTCTGCCCCCAGTTTTTCGTGTAAGTTATATAATCATATTGCTTTTGGATTTTGAATCTTAAGGAAAAGTTCACCATTTCTAGGATATGGATGAATCATTCATGTTTTCTTCTATTATTTATACAGATTCACTTTTTTGATTCATTTGAAATTTATCTTAGTGTATGAGGTGAAGAATTAAATATTTTTTGACTTGTACTAATATATTTGAGTAAGGCTGGTACTTTGCTGGCTTTATAGTCTGTGCATATGTATTTATTCACCCATTTGGTCTAGGGGAAAAAAGTGAGGAATGGCTCTAAGGCTAGGGAATTTTATATTCTGTGTTAGAAAATAAAAAGCTCCATTTTCACAGAAAGAAAATCATACTATGACCTTCTGTACTACTGCTGTTAAAACCTTTCAAAAGCTTCTTGCATATGTGAAACTACTGGAATAAACTATATCATATTTTCTTACTGTGTCAGGTAAGATAAAATTAAACCAAAGATAACTAATTCTTGGATTAAAGACACACTAATTAAAATTAAGGTTAAAAAGTGAAAACTAAGATTAAACAGGAGCCTCACATAGGATAATTACTCAATGTCTTTTTAGGTGAAATTTAATCAGTGATTTTTGTGGCCAGTTCTTGTTGCCTTGGGAAAACATGAATTGCAAAGCTCTGAAGGTTCAATTCTGAAAATCTATTAGCAATATCACCCATTATTATTAATGTTAGCAATTTTTAAATTAATCCTTCCTCAAACTGACATTATGTAATAAATGGATACTGGTATCTTTGTTAAGGAGGCAACTGACTGAAACTGCCCACTCTAGCCAGGCAAGACAGCAGCCACTTGGCATGAACTATCTTACCAACAGGAGGTCCTGGTAAGGAACGTGGAACTAACCAGCTACCATGAACCAGAAGAATTCAGGAAAGGTCAAAAGGAGAGAGAACACAGCAGTCCACACATCCTGCCAACCTCCCAGAATCCTCCTCCCAGAATCCATCTGGATGAGCAATGCCTGCCCCACAGGAAGGACCCCGAGTCAGGGTGGCTGGCCAGAGACACTCGGACACTGACCCCATCACCATGAAACCTGAGACTACGAGCCACGTGGCAGAGCAGTTCCCCTGGGTTCCCTTATCCTCCTGCTCTCCACCTGGCTGCCCCTTCCCAGTGAAGTCTCCTGCTTTGTCAGCACGTGTATTTCCTTAGATAATTCATTTCCAAATATTAGACGAGAGCCCACTTATGGGCCCTGGAAGGAGTCTTCCTTCCTGCAACATCTTCATGAAAATATTTAACTCTCTATTCGGTACTTATACCAAATAGAAACTAATACCACAGCTATTTTGCTATCAAGAAGAAAATGTAAAATATTGGAAATAATTTAAGTTAGATATTAATTAAACACATGTCTGTTCTGTGTAAATTCTGAAGGAATTTTTTAAAAGGATCAAAATTTATAAATGAGAAAAACAGAGGAGGCTGTAAATGTCATGTCTCTAGTACAATAATGTCTCACTCTTTCACTTTAATCACTCAAGCCTATAAGGATTGTTATTCAATAAATGCCTTCTTTCTGATCTATAATAGAGTCAGAAAAGGAACAGATGATAACATCAGTGGATCTCTGTAGTTACATTTTGCCTACTAGGTCCAACCTTCTCATTAAGAAACGCTTTTAATTTCAACTTGATCACAAAAATAAAAAGATGGTCTAAACTTCAGCACTGAAAATCTCCCTCTCTTTCAGGTAGTGATGTTAATGAGCTGGGAAATATGCAGGAAGAGAAGCAACAGTTAGAACCGGACATAAAACAACAGACTGGTTCAAAACTGGGAAAGGAGTACATCAGGGCTATATATTGTCACCTGTCTTTTTTAACTTATATGCAGAATACATCATGTGACATGTCAGACTGGATGACTCACATGCTGGAATCAAAATTGCCTGGAGAAATATCAACAACCTCAGACACGTATATGACACCACTCTAATGACAGAAAGCAAAGAGGAACTAAAGAGCCTCTTGATGAAGGTGAAAGAGGAGAGTGAAAAAGCTAGCTTAAAACTCAACATTCAAAAAACTAAGATCATGGCATCTGGTCCCATCACTTCATGGCAAATAGACGGGGAAAAAGTGGAAACAGTGAGACTTTATTTTCTTGGGCTCCAAAATCACTGTGGACGGTGACTGTAGCCATGAAATTGAAAGGCGCTTGCTTCTTGGAAGAAAAACTATGGCAAACTTAGACAGCGTATTAAAAGGCAGAGACATTACTTTCAAAGCTATGCTTTTCCCAATAGTCATGTATGGATATGAGAGTTGGACCATAAAGGAGGCTGAGCGCTGAAGAATTGGTGCTTTCGAACAGCGGTGTTGGAGAAGACTCTTGAGAGTCCCTTGGACAGCAAAGAGATCAAACCAGTCAATCCTAAAGGAAATCAACCCTGAATATTCATTGGAAGGACTCATGCTTAAGTCCCAGTACTTTGGTTACCTGATGCGAAGAGCCTACTCATTGGAAATATGCTGGTAAAGACTGAAGGCAGGAGGAGAAGCAGGCAACAGAGGATAAGATGGTTGGATGGCATCACCAACACACTGGATATGACCCTGAGCAAACTCGGAAGATAGTGGATGACAGGCAAGACTGGTCCATGAGGTCACAAAGAGCTGGACACGACTTAGTGACTGAACGACAAAGGCAGGAAGAGAGACGGCAAAAGTCCTAGACTGCATGTAATTCACCTCTGGCTGTGGAAAAACTACCTTTTAGTGATGAGGAGCTAAAGCTCAGAATCTGTGACCTGAACAAGGTTTCATAGCTGGTTAATGGCAAAGCCAAGATCAGGCTCCAGGTCTTCTAATGTTCTTTTCAGTATACCATTCAATTGGCCAGAGTAGACAGCAGGAAAAAAATGTGAAAGGGGCTCAATGTGAGTACGTATATGCTTAGAAGTTAAATTTAGTTTTAAACATTCAATTCCATTCTATTATTTAAATTATTGAGAAATCACAATATGAAAAACTTCAATGCTTTTCACCTCTGCCTAATATATTCTTTTTCTCTACATCTTAATCTTGGGAGATAAATACTTCTCTAATAGAAATTACCTTATTGCATATAAAAACTCTCCATCAAACCAAGATTCTATAAACATTACTTACAGGTAGGAGACGAAAAGGGTAATTACACTATAGGATCCACCTTAAATATACTGAACATTTCATCAGTTCAGTTCAGTTGTTCAGTCATGTCCAACTCTTTGCAACCCCACGGACTTCAGCATGCTAGGCCTCCCTGTCCATCACCAACTCCTGGAGTCTACTCTCAAACTCATGTCCATTGAGTCAGTGATGCCATCCAATCACCTCATCCTCTGTCATCCCCTTCTCCTCCTGCCTTCAATCTTTCCCAACATCAGGGTCTTTTCAAATGGTCAGTTCTTTGTATCAGGTGGCCAGAGTATTAGAGTTTCAGCTTCAGCATCAGTCCTTCCAATGAATATTCAGGACTGATTCCCTTTAGGATGGACTGGCTGGATCTCCTTGCAGTCCAAGGGACTCTCAAGAATCTTCTCCAACACCACAGTTCAAAAGCATCAATTCTTCAGCTGAGCACCGAAGAACATTTCATAACCACATTTAATTAACTTACATAATTTCGAATGAGAAGACTAAAGCTAAGGTCAATTTAAAGTTTACAAAGTACTGAGTACCCACTATAGATCAGGAACTGGTGCTAGAGTCAGAGGACATGAAATCAAACTCAAAAACATGTACTTCTAGCCCTTGGGATGAAGCTCATTTAGGCTGTACTCCTTATCAAAAACAGTTAGGTCTCAGTGGCCTCCTACACAGTTATTTAATATTTTCATGAAAATAAGACTTCAATGAGTTTTTCTACAGTAGAATACAAAGATCTAAACTCAAAAAAATTATTTTAAAGTTCCGTAAATCACTGAGGACACAAATTACATTGAGAGATACTAACTCCAGTTTTATGAATTCTCAATGATAAGATTAATAGTATTTCAATAATACAGCACTTATTCTACCTCAAAATAATTTGAGAGACTCTAGATCTCAAATTACTTGTTTGAAATGAAGGGTCCACATCTATCCCAAGTTTCTCTTTCCTCACTTTGCAAGACTGCTCCTAGAAAAAGGAGACAGGTACCTTTCCATGACGGCCAGACACTCCTTTCTCCAGGTAAATCGACTGCCTCGCCTTAGTCGGAAGGTGCCAGACGTGGCTGAGACTGGGGGAGGCGTTTGTCTCCACTCTGGGTCCTCTATTGGAATGGGTGCTGGTCTCATACTTAGCGTAGCCCCTGAAAATAAACAAGACACTTTTTTGTAAATATCTTGTAATTTATTAAAACCAGCATGACAACTATATCGTGAAATCAACAACTGACGTTTGCCCCTTCACTGGAACTTGCAGACCCTATACATTTGATACTTATATTTAAAAAAATTATTTGACCAAAATAAAAATCTGAGAAGACAAAAAACTCTTCCTTAGAAAATAAACCCATCATTAACTATTTTAAGTGTCTTTTTTCTTTCCAGCTAGTTATTTGTCTTTTATTTTTGTTTATGTTAACAAAGCTCAAAATCTCTCTCTTCAGGGGAATAAGGATATATGGTTTTTGGCCCAGTGACAACTTAGTCAGAGAATCTTCTGAATAAATTTTGAGATTCTTAGTTGACAGTTCTAATCTTTCTGAACAATATACCCTACATGTTCAGACCCTTTTATTACCATTTAAAAGGCTTCAAGTTGCTGAGAAAATGGAGCCCTTTAAACAAAGTATGCAGGTAGGAGATGAATTTAAGATAACCCTAATTGTTGCTCCCTGGTGGTTCAGTCAGTAAAGAGTCTGCCTGGAATGCGGGAGACCTGTATTCAATCCCTGGGTTGGGAAGATTCCCCTGGAGAAGGAAATGGCAACCCATTTCAGTATTCTTGCCTGGAGAATTCCATGGACAGAGGAGCCTGGTGGGCTACAGTCCAAGGGGTCACAAAGAGTCAGACACGACTGAGTGACTAACACACACAATTGTTGCAAACACTTTTTTTAAAAAGTCAAATATAGCATCAGAAAGAGATATTTGATGTTTTAGTGTATTAACTAAATCAGATCTTCCTAATTCTACCTATTAATGCTATACCATTTCTCACCTCTTGAATGTAATAAAACCAAGGGGAAAAATGTACAATTGAGATATTTTACTAACTCAGACTAGTCTTTTCTCAACCTGAACCGCAGTAGCGCACGCATGAACGCATTTCTTCCTCCAGAGCCTGGATGATACTCATTGGCCCCGCAGTTACTGCCGCGGACGGCGTCGCCGTGCGCGTTTGTTGACGCCCCCTCGTGGCTCCCTGGCTGCACGCACTGTCTCACACGGACGTCTACTGTTTCAACTGGGCCCGACTTCCTCTCCAACCGGCCGCCCTGCCGTCTTTCCGTCCGAGAAAATGGTGGCCCTGTTCTTCAAACTGCTCAGCTCAAAAATCTCAGAGTCACCTTTGACTCTGTTTTTACCCTACATACTATAATATATATCTAATCCACAGGCAAATCCTGTGAGATTTATCTTCAAAATACATCCAGAATCAGACCAATTTATATGACCTTCACTGCTCCCACTTTAGAGTAAGACAGCATCATCTATCCTAAACACAAATTCCTTGGATAGGTTTCAAGGATGGCCCCTCACAGTAAGTCACACCTCCTGGTAATCACGCCTTTGAATCTGGGTAGGTCCTGTACCACGCTGTGACAACAGAAAATGGAGATAGTTTGAGGCTAGGTCATGAGGGCTTCCCAGGTGGTGCTAAAGGTAAAGAATCCTCCTACCAATGCAGAAGATGCAAGAGACAGTGGGTTTGCTCCCTAGGTAGGGAAGACCCCCTGGAGTAGGAAATGGTAACCTGCTACAGTATCTTGCCTGGGAAGTTCCGTGGACAGAGGAGCTTGGAGCCTACAGTCCATGAGGCTGCAGAGAGTGGGAACTACTAAGACTGAACAGCTAAGCACACAGCGCAGGTCATAAGAGGCTTTGCAGTTTCTGACTAGATTTCCTGGAATGCTGGTTCTGGGGCAAGCTGGCTGCCATATAAGAACTATGACTAACCTGAGACCACGCTGTTTTAAGGAAGCCAAAGCCAGCCATATGGAGTGAAAGAGGCCCAGTCTGCTCCCAGTTGCTCCTATGAAATCCACCCAGGCACCAGACATTTGAGAAAAAAAGCCCATTTGGACACTAGCTGCAGCAGAAGCTATGCAGAGAGGCCAGGTGACAGACAGAAGGCTCCAGACATACAGTCCCAATACAGTTGTGTGGTAACCAGCTTCCAAGGTGGCTCCTGAGGAATTCCACCTCCTTGTATTGACCTTGTTGTACCAGGATTAGTTTATGTGACCAACAACATGTCATGAAGTGATGGCATGCCACTTTTGGGGGATTAGACTACAGAATACACTGTGGTGTCTGTGTTGTTGTCCTGGCTCTTAGATCACTTGCTCAGGGGGAAACTAGTGGCCATGGAGTAAGAATACTCAGGAAGCCAATGTGAGGTCCATGTGGAGGACCTGGCATCTCTAGCCAATAGGCTGTAAGGAACTGGAGCCTGCAGGGACTCACAGGAGTGACCTTAGAAGCAGACTGTCTGTGCTAACAGCTCGACTACAACCTCATAAGCAACTCCTGAATTACCAGTCCACAGAAATTGTGAGATCATCGATGCTTGATGCTTTCAGCTGCTAAACTGTGGGGGTAATTTGTTACACAATAAGACAGAACTAATAGAAGGCATCACAACCATCTCCAGTTATTTCCCCAATTTTCTCCAACACATTGAGTATTGTGTTACTAATCATTCACATTTATAAATTTGGCAGGCAAAAAATATTCTAATAAAAAGATTTCACTATTAGTAAGAATGAGCATCTATTCCTATTTTCTGAGAATTATATAATGTATCTTCTCTTGGGAACGTATATCTTTTGTCCTTCTTTCAAGTTACTCCTCTTGCTGGCGTACAGATGCCACACCGGCTGCCAGTCACACAGACGGTGACTGTTTTTCCAGTTTGTCTTCCGACTTCCGGTTTACGCTGTGCTCTGTGATCTTCATTTTTGTATAGTCAGGTCTGTTCATCTGTTCCTTTATGGTCTTGCATCTTGAATTACTCAGAATATTTTTTTAGTTTTCACTTTTGTTTGCATTCTTAATATATACATGATTTCCTGTTATGTGTGATGTAAATATTTGACTTCTTCCTCAAATGGGCAAATATGTCACCTACAGAAAATATTATAGACTGATAGCTTAAAAGGTGTGGTGCAGTCTGGCCTTTTGCCACAGTTTAAATAAAAGTTTTACTGGCACACATCTACATTTCTTCATTTACATATTGCCTCTTTTTTTGGTACTCTAATGGCAGAGCTGAGTAAGTGTGACAGAGACCACACAGCTTGCAAAGCCTAAAATATTTACTATCTGCCCTTTACAGGGAGAGTTTGCTGATCCCTGATTTAAAAAATTCCTGGCCCACACACTATGAAACTCTAAATTGAAACCTTTCTTTAGATAGTTCAAGAAAGAGGGCTCTGTACTGCCAAAATAACTTGGCAATTAGGTCTGGGTCCAAAATCAAAATTAACAAAGTTTAGGTGTAAAAAGGGAATTATGGGGCTAGAGAGTTTCAGAATCCTTGTTTTGGTATTCTTCTGAATGCAAGCAGGATTTACAGTATAATGAGGGCTCTGGAGTCTAAGTTAGAATATACAAGCTTTATTCTACAGCCACGATTCTACAGTCCATGGTTGATTAAGACAGAAGTAGAAATGATCTGGGTGAGGCAGCAGGGCCCCATCCAAGGTCTGCTCTGGTAAAAGGATATAGAACTTCAGGGCTTCAGTGGGTGAAGGACAATAAATAGGTCAGTGAGTTGCAACTAGTAGGTCGTTATCTGTAACTATGGCATGCTTTCTTCAGTTCAGTTCAGTCGCTCAGTCGTGTCCGACTCTGGCAACCCCATGAATCACAGCACGCCAGGCCTCCCTGTCTATCACCAACTCCCGGAGTTTAATCCAACTCATGCCCATCGAGTCGGTGATGCCATCCAGCCATCTCATCCTCTGTCATCCCCTTCTCCTCCTGCCCCCAATCACTCCCAGCATCACAGTCTTTTCCAATGAGTCAACTCTTCGCATGAGGTGGCCAAAGTACTGGAGTTTCACCTTCAGCATCAGTCCTTCCAATGAACACCCAGGACTGATCTCCTTTAGGATGGACTGGTTGGATCTCCTTGCAGTCCAAGGGACTCTCAAGAGTCTTCTCCAACACCANTTGAGAACTCTGTATGCAGGTCAGGAAGCAACAGTTAGAACCAGACATGGAACAACAGACTGGTTCCAAATAGGAAAAGGAGTACGTCAAGGCTGTCTATTGTCACCTTGCTTATTTAACTTATATGCAAAGTACATCATGAGAAACGCTGGGCTGGAAGAAGCAAAAGCTGGAATCAAGATTTCGGGAGAAATATCAATAACCTCAGATACGCAGATGGCATGCTTTCTTAGAGTGAGCACAAAGGAGACAAAGAATCTTAACCAAATCATGAGACAGAAGGAATAAGCCAAGTGACAATAATGGTTCTTTCCTGATATTAAGGTTGATTGGTAACGTAACTATACTTCTTTATAATATTCTGTATTGTCCAGGTTTTCTTGAAAAAGGAAACTTAGATGAAATAAAATTGGTCAGGAAGGAAAAGGAAGGGGGAGAGAGGGAATGAGGAAGAGAAGAGAGTGAAGTAAGCAGTGGCCTGGTTACATTAAAAGAATTCAACGATATTTATGCACAGAATGTAGAAACTGAATGATTTCAAACTTATAAACATACTTAATTTGAAACATAATATTATTACATTACTCTTGAGGGTTTCTTCTTGCTCCTTTTCCTTTGTCAATGTAGTAGTATTTTAAACAGCACAAGAAGCATGCAGGAAATATTACAATAAACACAAATATGATCTAGAAACCTGTTCCTTTTGCTTTGGTTGAAATGGATGGAGAGCAATGAATAACCCAAGAAAGGACTCAAAATTATTGACTTTGCGAGAAAAATACAAAGATAGTAGGATGCAGGAACAATGTATAAGAAGTAAAACACAGGCATTCTGTGTTGGCTAAGGAACCCACTATTTTTTCCTTATAGGAGTGTGTTACCCATGCTCTCTTCAGAAATTTTCTCCACATTATATCTGGGCCCCCATTAAGACAAAATTTTGTTAAGAAAATGCATATAGCATCCC